CAGCATCATTAGATGGCATACATTTATACAGCTGTTACGCTCCACCTAGTCTTTCTTTGCCAGATTTTGTCGATTTTTTAGATCGTCTTGTGGAGGGATGCAAAACGACACCACCCCGTAGCGATAGCCGGTGACTTTAACGCATGGGCGGTAGACTGGGGAAGTAGGAAGACTAATGCAAGAGGTAAAGCACTTTTGGAGGCCTTCAATGCACTTGACGTGGTTTTACTTAATAGTGGTGATAAACCAACCTTTGAAAAGGGCAGTGCAAGCTCAATAATAGACCTTACTTTTGTTAGCAATAGCCTCGTCAGAGGAATTTGCAATTGGGAGGTATTAGATATCTACACTGCTAGTGACCACAATGCAATCATCTGGGAAATATCAACAGATAGAAACATTAGAAGACATGCGAAAATATCTAAAGCCATTGGGTGGAAAATAAAATCTTTTGATGAAAGCGCCATGAGAGTTGCCTTAAATTGCAAACCTATAATTTCAGAACACGCAGATGAGCATACTAGAGAGCTGATGGAGAGAATAACCGAAGCCTGTGATATCAGTATGACTCGTAAACATGGCATAAATCAAAGACAATCTGTGCACTGGTGGACTGAAGAAATCAGCTCTCTTCGTAAAGAGTGCCTAAAGAAAAGAAGGATCTCTCAGCGTGGATTTAGTCTCAGTAATTCTGCACAACTGGTAGTGGAATATAAACAAGCACGTAGACAACTAAATAAAGCTATCAAAGATAGTAAAGTTAGGTGCTGGAAAGAACTTTTGGATGAAGTCGAGGAAAATCCATGGGGAAGACCTTATAAGACTGTAATGTCTCGCCTCAAAAGCCAGCCAATACCTTCACCAACTTGCCCACGACTATTGAATAAAATAGTAACTACTTTGTTTCCACGACAACCTAATTTGAACTACCAGGTAACACATGTAGAACAGAATAATATTCCACTTATAACACTGCAAGAACTGATCGAAGCTTGCCATCGCGTTGGTAATAGCAAGGCACCGGGATTAGATGGAATTCCTAATATTGCCTTGAAAACATCAATTATGACATCTCCGACAATGTTTCTTAATGCATATAATACATGCCTGAAAGAAGGGGTTTTTCCACGAAAATGGAAACAGCAAAGACTAGTGCTTATTCCCAAGAAAAAAAAACCACCAGATGAACCATCATCCTATCGTCCAATATGCATGCTGGATACAGCGGGTAAAATTTTTGAAAGAATAATTCACCAAAGAATAGATGCAGTAGTTGATCCAATCCTAGCAACAATCAGTATGGTTTTCGCAAAGGGCGATCAACTATCGATGCTATAAACTTGGTAGTTAATACCGCCAAGGAGGCAATTGCTGGAACCAGATGGAAGGGGGGTTCCAAAAAGTACTGCCTTGTAGCTACATTGGATATAAAAAATGCTTTTAATTCTGCAAACTGGGATTGCATTATGAATGCACTCCGTGACAAGAACGTGCCAGCATACCTATGCAATATAGTCGCAAGCTACTTTACAGACAGAATTCTAATGTACCATTCACGCGATGGTACAGAAGAATATAATATAACAGGAGGTGTGCCGCAGGGCTCTGTTCTAGGCCCTTTGCTGTGTGGAATATTATGTATGATGGCCTTTTGAGACTAGAGTTTCCAGAATGTGTGAAACTAGTAGCATATGCAGACGATGTTGCCATAGTGGTTGTCTCCAAACAAATTGATGACATCGTAAGCCTATTCGATATTACATTCAGAAAATTAATCGGTGGATGGGAACAATGAATCTCCAATTAGCACAACAAAAAAGTGAAGCTGTTCTTATCACTAGTAGGAAAAGAATTGAGACCATCAAGCTAAAGATAGGAAATCTTGAGATCACGTCAAAACCTCACATCTGTTACCTTGGCGTAATGCTTGATGCTCGTTTGAATTTCAATCAACAGGTGGAACACGTTAGTGCTAAGGCGTCAATAGTTAGGACGAAACTTGCTCGACTGATGCCTAATATTGGAGGTCCTAAACAAACCAGAAGGATATTACTATCGTCAGTTATTACTTCAGTGCTGACATATGGTATCTCCATATGGGGTGATGCTCTTAAATCTCAAAAATCGAGGAGAATGGCAGGGCCCTTATACCGTCTCAGTGCTATAAGAATTGCTTGCGCATTTCGCACAATATCGGCGGAAGCAGTGTGCGTCATTTCAGGAACTGTGCCTCTCTTAGTCTTAGCAGAGGAAAGACGGACAATTTACCATAGAAGACATCAACAACTGTGTACTGAAAAGTTAAGATTAGAAGAACGGCAGAACAGCATTGACCGATGGCAGCGACTGTGGGATGTCGCTGTAAAGGGCAGATGGACGCATCGTCTCATTCCTAACATCAAAGTCTGGCTAAGTCGCAAGCACGGCGAAGTAAACTATTATACTACGCAAATGCTATCGGGGCATGGCTGTTTTCGAGCCTACCTACACCGATTCAAGCACGATAGCTCGCCGGATTGCCCATATTGTTGGGGCGAAATCGAAGATGCTGAGCACGTGTTCTTCGTGTGCCCGCGATTTGGTGCTCTACGGGATGATGTGGAGGAGACATTGAGACGCACAATTACCCCAGGTAATGTTGTTGAAGTGATGCTGACAAGTGAAGCTGCTTGGAACGCCATAGACAGATTTGCGAGAGACGTTTTAATGGACCTGCGTTCTATAGAGAGAGAAAGGGCGAATGGGACTTCGCCCATTTAAAAGATAAGTAAAATGTTTATGATTTATAACATTGTTTATAACAAGTTAAGAATTGTAACATTCTAGATCCTCCCCCCGAAGTAATGCCTAGCGGCGGTTTCCGTGGGGACCAGAGGCAGGGGCAAAGCGGAGGTTTTAGTCGGTATTATACCAGGGCGGTATCGAGTCCGACATACCCAGACAGAAGACCGGTCTGGGATGCATAAAAGCATTCCTTCGCTATACAAAAAAAAAAAAAAAAAAAAAAAAAAAAAAAAAAAAAAAAAAAAAAAAAACATCCATTTTTTCTGAAGTATGCCAAAATGTTCAGAAATCTTCAAAACGTCGAGAAATGTAAAAATTTTCTATTCCGATTTTCGGCCCATTACAATAACTTACCCTACGGGAAGTTAATAATGATAAAAATATTTTATCAGTAGAATAAATAAATAATAATTTAATTTACTGATTTTTTAAATTATTTTTCGTCATACTAAAGACGGACATTATTATAAAGACATGATTTGAGTCCATTACCCATCAAACAAAATTCCAGCCGTAAACAATGACCAAGGGAAAAAATTATATTAACTTTTCGAGACTTGTAAATTAAAGGAAGTATTGTTGGAAATTAGCTAGGACTCAACACTTCTTTTGATTTTTACATGAAAAGGTTACTATAAATACACACATATGGCTTGGGAACCCATGGTGATTCATCAACACCACAAAATATATATTATTCATTATTTCAGCATTGTATTAATTAAGTTTGCAAAATAAAAATAAAAACGCTCTTTGATAACTTTTATTTTTCTCTTAATTATTCAATTGAAATTTAATGTAAAATAATAAAATTGTATTCTTCAATATTTCAGCCTTGTATTAATTAAACTGTTTGCAAAATATTTTTTTGCTTTTAATCAGTAAAATTTGATAATATAGCAATTTATTGACTTCTAAATTTTCTTTTTGCTAAACATAGAACTTTTACAACAATTTAAATACTCCGAATTGATTTTTTTCCTAATGATACGATTATGATACTTAGAGACGGATTCTGTCGCATAACAGAAAAATTTTACGGCAAGGCCATGTTATGAAGAACTTTCCATACTAATATAGACAAAAGCCATGCGGTCGGTGTGCAGTCAGGCAAATTTCACAGGTTATCTGATAGTAAACATAACCAAGAAGCCGCACAAATATTAAAAAAGCGATGTCAGATAACAGTTTGTTTCTGATACAGCTTTATAACATATGAGTGACGTTTGCAGTTTATGTGTAAAACGCCTGAAAGAACAGAAAATACATGATATTTTGACAGGTACAGTATGATTCATTAGCTTAATGTATGGAAGTCGGAGCGTAACATGGCCTTGCCATAACATTTTTCTGTTGTGCGGCAGAATCGGTCCCTAAGGAATTAAATTAGCTTTTCAACAGCAGCTATCCACTAGTTCACGTTGATTTAATTTTCATTTGGCTGTAGGAAATTTATAGAATTTACACTGACTTTTCTTACTGTTGTTTTTACAATCTACTATACAACTTTGGTGTCTCATTTTAACTTTCCGTAGGGTAAGCAAATAAGTAGGCAAAAAATGGCAGTTTTTGAGAGAACTAAGCGTCCGATTTAAATGATTCAAAGAAATTTCTGTTTGTTTTAACAAAATATTTGATTTTGGAAAAAAAAATATTTTTTCAATTTTTTTTTCAAATAATTTTTTTTTTTTTTTTGTATAGCGAAAATAATTCAGATTTTATTTTTAATTCTGACTAAAGTTCTAATATACTTTAAACAAATAATTTCAACTTTGCAATTCAGTTTAAATAATTCATATCAATATTAGACAATGTTACAATATTATTAATAATCTATTTCAAAACATTCAGTATTCTTCGAACATTTCGTTATGGTACGGAAATTTCCAGCAATTTGCATTTAATTTATTTACATTTGAAATAAAATAATATTTCACGCGTATTTGTTTACTATTTTGGCAATAATAGCCTCACGTAGTGCTCAAAATGACCACTACGAGCGCTACAGACAGTTTGAGTTCCCCTTGCATGTTTTCACACATAGCGAATATGTTTCTACTCTCTCTACTGCTGTAAATGAACTCTATGCTTCAAATGTCAAATAATAAATGTAAAAGTTGAAATTATTTATAACATTAAAAAAAATTATTAATAAGTCTAGACTATTATTTAGCATACAACTATTTTCTTTTTTTTTTTTGTGAAAGTATTTAAAAATGTCGGAGGAAACAATTATGTCTATGAATGATCAGACAATTAAAATTGAACCACCTGAATATTCACCTGAAGACATTAAACTTGAAATGCAGGATGAATTTGATAATCCTGATGTTATTGTTAAATCTGAATCGTGTTCTGAAGATGATGATACGTGTTTAGAAAGATTCATGAATTCCGAGGTGACAATTGAAGAAGAAGTCAAACAGGAGTTGGTCGAGGCATCAACTTATGAATGTGACATTTGCAATAAATCATTTGCAGAAACACATCATTTAAAAGAGCATATGATCGAACATATGTCTAATAATAGCAAAGAAAGTCCTTTCAAATGTGAAATCTGTTACAAGACTTTTGATCGATTAAGTGATCTGAAAAGGCACATGCTCATTCACAGTGGTGAGCGTCCCCACGAATGCAATATATGCAAAAAGACTTTCACGCAATCAGGCAATCTGAAAAGTCACATGCTGATGCATAGTGGAGTACGTCCTCATGAATGCAATATATGCAAAAAAACATTCACGCATTCAGGCAATCTGAAAAGTCACATGCTGATACACAGTGGAGTACGTCCCCACGAATGCAATATATGCAATAAGACATTTGCAGAATTGAGTAATCTGAAACGTCACATGATCATTCACACTGAATTAAGGCCTCATGAATGCAATATATGCAAAAAGACATTCAGACATTCAGGTACTCTGAAATCCCACATGCGCTTTCACAGTGGTGAGCGCCCTTATGAATGCAATATATGCAAAAAAACATACACGCGCTCAAATAATCTGAAGCTTCACATGCTGATCCATAGTAAAGTACATCCTCATGAATGCAATATATGCAATAATACATTCACACATTTACGTGATCTAAAATGCCACATGCTCATTCACAGTGGTGAGCGCCCTCATGAATGCAATATATGCAACAAGACATTCACGCAATTAAGTAGTCTGAAATGTCACATGCTGATACACAGTGGTGAGCGTCCCCATGAATGCCATAAATGCAAAAAGACATTCACAGAAAAAAGTAATCTTAAATGTCACATGCTGACACACAGTGGAGTACGTCCTCATGAATGCAATGTATGCAATAAGAAATTTACACAATCTAGTAATCTGAAAAGGCACATGCTGATTCATAAACGAGAGCATTCTGATAAATGATGTATGTAATAAGGAATTTACTCAATCAAAGGATTTGAAGAGACACAAGTCAGAAACATGATAAAGATCAATGAAATATAAGAATAGTTGCTTTAAATTTAAATATTGTAAAATTTTCTTGCATGTAACGGAATGTATAAATAGTATGAAATATACAGTAAACACTACATAATATCAATATTATTTCATGATTTTTTATTAGTTTGATTTTTATGTATTAAGTATTATTAATGAGGATTAGTAACCATTGGTTTCAGGTTTGAATACAAATACCAATCTTGGTCAGCAGTAGTGATATTAAATATTTACAAGGAATATTATATTTTTACAAAAAATGATTTTTTGTACGTCCAGCGATGCCATGCACCACTAATTTGCACTAGTTTTTTAAAAATATTTTATTAGTAATTATTTTAGATAATCTAATTAGCTTTAATTAACTTCCCGTAGGGTAAGTTATTGTAACGAGCCGAAAATCGAAATTGAAAATTTTCACATTTCTCGACGTTTTGAAGGTTTCTCAACATTTTGGCATACCTCAAAAAAATGGATGGATGTGTGTGTGTGTGTGTGTGTGTGTGTATGTATGTATGTATGGATACAATTTTCCAGTCACGTTTTCGGGCGCAAGCATCAACCGATTTGAATGGTTCAAAAAACATTCGATTCCTATTGATAGGGAAAAGAGCTGATTAGTTTTTGGCAAAGGCAGGTCCAGAGAACTAAGCGTCCTAATTAAATGATTCAAAGAACTTTCTGCTTGTCTTAACAAAATAATTGATTTTGGAAAATAAAATTTGTTTCAACTTTTTTTTTTCAAAAAAAATTTTTTTTGTGTATCGAAAGTATTCAGATTTTATTTTTAATTCTGACTATAGTTCTAATATACTTTAAACAAATAATTTCAACTTTGCAATTCAGTTTATATAACTCTTATAAATATTAGACAATGTTACAATATTTATTTATAATAATCTATTTGAAATCATTCAGTATTTCTCGAACATTTCGTTACGGTACGGGAAGTTCCAGCAATTTGCCTTAAAGCACGATGCCACACACACCACTAGTTTGTAATTTGAGTCAACCGAAGATGAAAGGGTATGAAAAAACTTCAAGAAACTCCAAACTTTTCAAAACTTTCAAAAAATTAGTGGTGTGTGGCGTGCATCGGGCCTTAAGGCAAATTGCTGGAACTTTCCGTACCGTAATTAAACATTCGAGGAATGAAAATAATCAAAAATTGTTTTAAATATTGAATTTCATTTATGAATACATACTGTAATTTTAAAAGTGTTTATTAAATTAGGCGACGAGCGTATTCTAACTTATGTGTATGTTTACAAGAAATTTAATTTCTTTTTAATTTGATTTTTTGATAAATTTTTCAAAATTTTGAATTTTTACAAAAATTTCTAAATTTTTGGAATTTCTGGAATATGTTTTTTAATTTTTGAGATTTTGGAAATTTTAGAAAATATTCGAAAATTCTCAAATTTTTGTAAGAAATCGATTTTATTTTTAAATTTTGATATTTTTTGAAATTTTTCAAAATTCAGTTTTTTTTTAATGATGAAAAATTTCGAATATAAGAATTTTTTCAAACTTAATTTTTTGAAAATTTTGCATTTTTTTTTTTGAAAACTTTCAAAATGACGAAATTTTATCTAATCGGATGATGCGTTTTTATCAAAAACTGCATGACCATTTTTACACCCTTTGCGTTCCATACCTCCGAAACGGCAAGACGTTTCTTTTGCAAAAACGTTTGCAAACCGAATGTTTTTTCAATCATACAAATCTGATATTCCACACTGTCAAAAATGTCGAGGACATCTGTTCAGACCATATAATTGAACTTTAAAATTAAAAATCTTGGCACGGAATCCAAAAAATTGACACAAAATGCGTACAATTATTCAAATCTCTATAAAATATCTGATAATTTGATGTGCATATGGCTAATGAACGCCAAATGGTATTTTGTTAACTTATTTTTATTGTGAGTCCATTACCGCCGGACTTGCCTTTCTAAAAATTTAAACAGTTCTTTGTTTAGTCAATACAAATAAAGTGTTTTTGAATTATTCAAATCGGATGCTCCGTTCTCTCAAAAACTGAATTAAGATTTTTGGCAGTTTTTGCCCCGTATCTTCAAAACTACTCGACCTACCTTTGCCAAAAACTAATTAGCACGTCTCCTTATCAATACGAATCAAATGTTTTTCTCAAAATGTTGTTCAAAATCAAACGAAATTGTTCAAAATCGACGAAAAATTGTATCCGCACATACATACACAAACATACATCCGTTTTTTAAGAATGTCAAAATGTTCAGTAACAGCTGAAACGTAAAGATATATAAAAATTTTCATTTTGATTTTAACAGAAAGTTCAAAATTTAGTTTTCAAAAAATATCAGTATTTTCGAAAAAGGCATTTTTTCGATATTCAAATTTTCAAAAATATTACAAAAATAACAAATTTCAAAAAAATTTTTTTTCTGAGATTTCTGAGACAATTTAAATTAGTAAGTTCCAGCAATTTTTTAAAACTAGTTTTAATTACTCAAACCAGTTATCTCGAAATCGTCGACGAAAATTGTATCACATACATTTTTTTCTAAGGTATGCAAAATGTTCAGAAATGAAACGTTAAGATATAAAAAAAATTATTTTCTATTTTAACAGAAAGTTAAAAATTTAGTTTTCAAAAACTATCAGTATTTTCGAAAAAGGCAATTTTTCGATATTCAAATTTTCAAGATTTTCAAAAATGATTACAAAAATTAGAAATTTTCAAAAAAAAATCTATTTTTTCTGAGCTTTCAAAAATTTTAAATTAGTGCAGTAGAGTTCCAGCAATTTGTCTTAAGGCAATATTATAGGCAATATTTATATATTATATAAATTTGCAAAAATTGGTATCGTTTTCTTGGCATTTGTCAAAATTAGACCTTTCATCGATGTTTGCTCAAAAACGCCTGAACCGATTTCAGAAATTTAAAAGCCATTCGATGTATCTCTATGAGCACTATAGTTTGTCAGTTTTGTGAGACGATATGCCGAGCCGTTTCTTTGTAATTTGAAAAAGAGTATTAAACTTTTCGTCCACATTTAAGCTCATTCTACCAAATCGATTTTAAAAAATCAAAAACTGTTCGAAAGATATTAGTTGAGAATAATACTGATTAGTTTTAGGTGAAAATATACCGAGCCGTTTTCTTGTAATTAACTGTTGAAAAAAAAAATTAAGCCGATTTTTATGAAACTTTGTTTGGCGATGTATATCATGGTCTTATAGAACTTACTGAAATATTACGGTCTTACGACAAATAGTTTAATTTTAAAAATTCATCCAAAGTTTGAGAATATGAGTAGTTTTGTTGACGTTCGTTAAAATTAAAATTAGATGATTTACTTGGTATAACAATAGATTACTTGGTCTTAATGAACATAATAAACCATTAATGTTCTAAGAAAACTGGTTCAATTAAAACGTGTTTGTTCATTTTCAATTATGTGTAATAAATCTTCTCGGAATACTTCTAGTCACTCATAAATTAATTTGTTTATTATTGATTAAGTCAATTATTTACACATATCGGGAAGTTCATGTAATTTGCCTCAAGGCTAAATACCAATACCAACTAGTTTCTATTTTGAAAAGAAATACAAGATTAGGAAAGTCAGGAAATTGATTGCCTATAGAATATTGAAAGTGAAAAATAAAACACATATATCAATGTCTATTATATATTGATACTAATTTTATTTAATCGACACATAGGTTTAACAAAATAAATTTAAGCCAATACATATATCACTTACAAACACATTAATTACCTTCTACAATTTCTGACTCACATCTATTCTTTATCTTTATTTATACATTTGTGATTCTTCAAATTAGTTTTACTAGAATACGCTCTATCACAATTTTCACATTTATAAGGATATTTTTTTGTATGAGTACGCATGTGTAGTTTTAAGGTAGCTAATACACCAAAGGCGCTCTCGCATATATCACATTTGTAAGGGCGTTCACCTGTGTGAATTACCATGTGTAATCTCACGCCGCCATTTGTTGTGAATCTTTTATTGCATTTTTCACACTTGTAGGGCCGTACTTTCTTATGATCGAGCATGTGTTTATTCAAGTGGCTTGAGTCTCTGCAGATCTTCTTACATATGTGACATGTATAACCGGATTCAATGTGAGTACTCGTGTGTATTTTTAAGCTGTATGATGAACTTAAGCCTTTGTTGCATATTCCACATTTATAATGTTTTCCATTATGAATATTTAGGTGGTTTTCAAGGTTTTTCGACCGTGCGAATGACTTCTTGCAGATTTTGCACTCATAAGCTCGTTCTCCAGTGTGAGTAAGCATATGTTGTTTTAAATTCCTCAATGCACGGAACACTTTCTTACAGTTCTCGCATTTGTAAGGTAATTCCTCAGAATGAATACTTGTGTGTGATCTCATAGCACTCGAATGTGCAAATGTTTTATTGCATATCTGGCATTCATAAGGTCGTTCTCGAGTATGAGTACGCATATGATCTTTTAAAGTACTCGGTGACCGGAATGCTTTGTCACATGTTTCACATTTGTAAGGAAGTTCTCCGGTGTGGATAAGCATGTGTGCTTTCAGGTGACCCACTTGTATGAATGCTTTATCACATTTTTCACACTTATGAGGACGCTCTCCTGTATGAATAAGCGTGTGCTTTTTCAAAGTACTAGCTGTCTTGAATGCTTTATCACATGTTCCACACTTATGGGGACGATCTCCTTTGTGAGTATGCATATGTTTTTTCATAAGGCTTGGTGTTGCAAATGCCTTATCGCAAGTTAAACATTTATGGGGACGCTTTTCAGACAGAGCAAACTTGTTATGTTTTGGTTTATCAGATTTTTTGATGTTTGAAGGTCGTTCCATGGTCTCTTCACAAACATGCTGATCTAATAGATGTTTTGCAGTGAATGTTTTATTACAGATATTACATACAGAAGGTATTTCACCATCTCCATCAGTCTCAATTATCTCTTGCTTGATTTTTTCTTCAATCGTTACCTCAGAATTCATGAATCTTTCCATACATGATTCATCACCTTCAGACTCGACAATATCATCAGCCTCTTCCTCAATTTTGCATTTATTGTCTTCTACTGAACATTCTGGTGGTTCAATTTCAATTTTCTGATCATTCATGGACATGATTGTTTCTTCTGACATTTTTGATATTTTCTATAAATGCCGAAAATGTGTTGTATTTATTAATAATAATTTAATAATCTATTTTTATCAATAATCTTCTCTTAATGTATAATAATATATTTTAATCAATAATATTAATCTTAATCTTCTTAAATGTGATAATAATGAGTTTAACTCACATGTGTTCTAAAAAATGGAATTTTTAGTAGTTTGACATTTGAAGCATAGAGTATGTTCCAAAAGATAGGATGTTTATTAACTTTCCGTAGGGTTTATGCCCATAGATAAAGGAAGAGTATTTATGAAAGAGTGTTTATGCCATAGATAAGTAAACATAAATAGATCGCTATCTGAGGCCATTTGACATTACCTCCATTTTAATATTTTTAGCGATCTAAAGAAAGCAGCACTTGTTCAGTATATAAATCAACCGCTGGTATTATTCCTAGATATGGTTCGCATACGTAATTCAAAATAAGAAAATCTAAATAATTTCTTATATTGGAAATGAGAAAAAATAACATATAAAGTACAAAATATATTTTCAAATATTATATATCACAAACATTTTTACATAACAATTAAAATGTTTATAAATGTAATAATCAATATATACATAATAATAAGTACTATAATTTTACAATTATAAGTAACTAAATAAAGTATTCACAATGGTATGATAAATTTGCAAGGAACGATCAATATGAATTTCTGAATGATCAATAATATATAACAACTAGACAAAGATTGTGTAGAAGCATCTACAATAAAATGTTAAACTTAAAAGGAACGATCAATATGAATTACCTAATGATCAGAATATATAACAACTACACAGAAATATTGTAAAAGTTTTCATAAGTATAATGAATTTACACGAACTGACTAATATTAATTTCTTAATGACTAATAGCAATATGATATAAAAGAGAAAAGTATAGAGTCTAAGTATGTAGTATATAGAGTATATACTATAGATAATGGAATAGTATAATTAGAAGAAATGACAAATAATGAACAAATTTAAAAAGTTAAATCCTACAGACATAAAATATATATATTGATATCAAAATTTATAGATAACTAAATTCCAAGAATTAAAATTCATTTATGAGTAATTCTTCTTTAACATTAACTTTGCATTTGATAGTTATTTTGCTTTCCAATCAATCATTAATAAAGTTGCATTCTACAAAATCTTGAATTTCTTATGATTCGATTGTGTCAATAGAACAGTGCAGCAGTCCTTTCGGCTGGAATGTTAAGAATATTTCTGAGCATTTTATACTCTGTTGCAATTTATACCTTAAATTATTGCATTGTTTGTCTATCCTTCTTAACTCCCTCAACATATAATGGATGCGTCATACATTTTACATGCCATATTAGTCACTACATTCTGCTGCAATTTGTGAACATCTAATAAACATAACATGTTGTAATATAATATCAAGTCGTAATAGCAAATGGTATTAAAATATTCAGAATTATTATTACCCTTTCCACTGGAGTTGCAGAGTGTTCTCCTGGGCATATATTAGATTGTCTTTCTCTTCTTATATCACTGTGAACTATAGACATGAGAACTATTCTGTGAAATATAATTGGACATTTCTAATTCTCTCAAAAACTCGATTTTTATTTTCTGTCTTATTTGCTCTTCATCTCCTTAACTGCTGGGCCTGCCTTTGCCAAAAACTAATCAGCACATCTCCCTATCAATAGGAATCGAATGTTTTTTGAATCATTCAAATCGGTTGATCCGTACGCCCGAAAACGTGACTGGAAATTTGTATCCATACATACATACACACACATCCATTTTTTCTGAGATATGCCAAAATGTTCAGAAACCTTCAAAACGTCGAATAATATAACAATTTTCAATTTCGATTTTTGGACGATTACAATAACTTACCCTACGGGAAGTTAATAAGAACATTTGGCTAGAACTATTATGGGAAAATAGAAAGAAATAATAAAATATTTGTTTAGATGAAATATATTCATATACATATATAGAGTTGGCTATTAATAATAGGTGTTACTGGTGGTTAAAAAGCACACTTTTTGTGTGAAAGTGGCGTGCGTACTTATCAACTTAGGTTTTTTAATGTCCATGTCATCATGCATTCTAATTATTGAGTACATTTTGTAATAAAGTTGATAAAATCAACTTTGCTTACTCACTGAAACGGCTGGCCGACCTTCACCAAAAACTAATCAGAACGTCTCTCTAACTAAGAATCTATTGTTTTTTGAATTTTCAAAATGAAAATGAAAAATTGTATCCACACATACACGCACACATCAATTTTTTCTAAAGTATGCCAAAATGTTTAGAAACCTTTGAATCGTAATAATATGCAAAAATTATCAGTTTCGTTTTTTGGACGATCACAATAGCATACCCTACGGTAAGTTAAAAACTAGACTTTTTATGAAGATTCTACTAACAGTTATGGCTCAATTGCAAATCTTATTAAACCTGGAATGAATGTACAACATTATTAATAAAATATTTACTCTAAAGCAATTGATAACAATGTTTATTTATTTTATAAAATATATAAATTAATTCATATATCTAATTAACATTAATTTCTATAAGCAGTCATATGTAATTTTGTTACCAATTTTGTAAATACTAATTACTCATTGGTATGAGCAACCATGTGCCTTTTCAGTCCTTTTGAACGTTTGAATACATTATCACAGATTTTGCATTTGTAGGGGCATTCTCGGGTGTGAATGAGCACATGTCTATTCAAGTTACTCAATTGTATGAATGCCTTATTACAAATATGGCAAATATGGGAACATTCACCAGTGTGAATGAGCACATGTTTATTCAAATTACTTGAGTCTGTAAATGTCTTACCACATACTTTGCATTTATTAGAACGTACCCCAGTGTGAATGAGCATATGTCTATTCAAGGTACTCGATTGTATGAATGCCTTATTACAAATTTGGCAAATATGGGAGCGTTCACCAGTGTGAATGAGCACATGTTTATTCAAATTACTTGAGTCTGTAAATGTCTTACCACATACTTTGCATTTATTAGGACGTACCCCAGTGTGAATTAGCATATGCAATTTCAAGGAACTTAATCGTGCAAATGTCTTATCACATATTTGGCAAATATGTGGCCGTTCACCAGTGTGAATGAGCACATGTTTATTCAAGGTACCCATTTCTGTGAATGCCTTATCACATATTTGGCAAATATGCGGACGTTCACCGGTGTGAGTTAGCATATGTCGATTCAATTTACTCAATTGTGTGAATGTCTTGTCACAAATTTGACAAATATGGGGACGTTCACCTGGTCCCTTTGCAGTATGAGCGAGAATATTTCGTTTTTGATTACTAGATTCATTCAAACGTAAAATTTGTTCTCTGGCACGAGCACAAATGTGTTGATCTAAATGATATTTTTCAGTAAATGCTTTACCGCACTTTGTACATGTGAAATGTTTTTCATATGTATAAGATTTTATATGTATTTCTAATGCACTTGCATCTGAAAAAGTCTTTGAACAATATGTGCACTTATGACAATAATTTAACATATGCTGTTCTAAATAATGCAACTTTCTAAATGTTCTATGACACTTGTCACATTTATAAGGAGCAGTCTGAATTAATTCCTGTTCAACATTTTCTTCTATTTTCACTATGGAGTTCATAAATCTGTTCAGACATGTTTTGTCATCCTCTGAACACGATTCAGGGTCTTCCTCAATTTCCTGTTTAATGTCTTCCTCAATCTCCTGTTTAATGTCTTCGATTGGATATTCTTGTGGTTCAATTTTAATTATCGGATCATCAGCAGCTTCTGACATTTTAGATATTTATGCACTGAGTATCTTTTATAAGCATGAATAAAAATAGGTGGTTAGTTTAAATGAACTATTGTTAAATATGATAATTAATTTGACTAGAAATACAAATGAAAACATTAGTTATTGACAGTTGGAGCATGGAGTATGATTTTAGAAAGTGCATTGCATTTATGCTCTCGTAACATTTTACAAGAGTTATGTTTAAATTAATAATCGTTCTCAACTGTCAACACAAATGATTCTGAGGATATAATATATTCGTATAATTTGTCTAAGAATGTAATCTTACATTAAGTTAACAGGAGTCTATTTTAGACAATGTCGCCACGATAATTTCTTCTTCAAAATACTTTATATTTGACAGACAGTGATTTTGAATCAACTAAAGCTATTGGCTTGTCATATAATTATTGCAGAGCTGAAATGAAAATAAGTAAAATTGAACTTTACATTTCCTTTGCTTATCTTTATTTGGAATTGAATGTTTTTTTGGAATGAAACAAAATATAATTAAAAGTTAGTCATGTGGAATAACCTCAAAGTATTATATACTACCTTTATGTTCAGCAATCAATCACAAATACCGCTTTATGATACGTATTATTATAAGTATATTTATATTTAAATTTATATATAATATACTTAAACATTTAATTAATAATTAAATAAACAAAAAATAAAAAGTTCGTTCAGTACATTAAAATTTGTTTGTCAAACACAAACACCTGGTAAACAAACTTCGCTCTTCGCTACTTTTAGCTTATTTAATTATGTTCGCTACTTTGCTCTATGCCGGCCATGGCCAACCTGCGGCCCGATGGCGATTTTTGTGCGGCCCCATGACAAACAACAATCGCACAAATTATTATTTTAATTTAAATAAATAAAATAATTTTTGCAAAGGCTAATATAGAAGTCTGAACACTAAGTCAGCTTTAACCGAAAGTAATGGTCATTAATCGAATGAATAGATGGCGATATGATACTCTATGGATAGCGCTTGACAGATAACGACAAATAATTGTCAACGCAACGGACAACGGGAGACTAGCGGCTCTATGGACGAGTGGGCAACACTAGTTCGCGAGTCATTCACTAGGGGAGTTATCTCCGAAAAAATGTTTATATTACGATTATTCTGAAAAAAAAGAATTTTCAAACACTTTTAAAATACAAAAAAAAACATTTTTTTTCAAAAAAGTCAATTTTTTCACTAATTTCAAGATTTTCAAAAATCTAATTTTTTCAAAGTTTTCAAAAATATTAAAGTTTTTGGAAGTTTGGAATTACGGTAGGTACGAGAAGTTCCATCAAATTGAGCGCGATGCCATGAACCACTAGTTTTTTCAGATTTGTTGCGGCCCAGTGCCTTGTATATTCCTAAATTTTGGCCCAAAGAGTAATTTAGGTTGGACATCGCTGCTCTATGCAATTCGAGGTAACTCGATAAGGACTATCCATAGATAAAAGAAAAGTATGGGACTATCGTTTCTCAGTGCAACGATGAGCCGAGTCGTTTCTTTGTAATTAGTAGAAAAATGAAAGTTTTTCGAACACCAAAATAATTTATTAAGTTTAATTATAGTGTCTGGGCACTATAATTAATATAATTGTAGATAATTTAAATGTGTTTGAGTGATATTAATTGGAAATTTCAATGTTTAGATTTGAGTGAAAGCGTAAAACTTTACTTTAGACAGTTTTATTTTTTAACTTCCGTAGGGTAAGTTATTGTAATTGTCCAAAAATCGAAATTGAAAATTTTTGCATTTCTCGACGTTTTGAAGGTTTCTGAACATTTTGGCATACCTCAGAAAAAATTGATGCGCGCGTGTGTGTGTATGTATGTATGGATACAATTTTTCGTCCACGTTTTCGTGGCGCACGGATCAACCGATTTGAATGGTTCTAAAAACAATCGATTCCTATTGATAGGGAGATGTGCTGATTAGTTTTTGGCAAAGGCAGATCCAGCCGTTACGGAGATACGGAGCAAAGAGTGTAGAAAATAGAAATTGAGTTTTTGAGTGACCGGAGCATCCGATTTGAATGATCTAAAAAACATTCAATTAGTAATGATTGGGAGAAGTGATTATTAGTTTTTGGCAATGGCAGGCCCAGCCATTTCGAAGATACAGATCTAAATGTGCAAAAAATGGCAGTTTTTGAGAGAATTAGCGTCAATTTAAATGATTCAAAAACTTTCAGCTTGTTTCAACAAAATAATTGATTTTGGAAAAAAAATTGTATCATTTTTTTTTAGTTTTTTTTTTTGTGCATCGAAAATAATTCAGATTTATATTATAATATAAGATATATTTTTAATTCTGACTAAAGTTCTAATATTCTTTAAACAAATAATTTTAACTTTGCAATTCAGTTATATAATTCTTATGAATATTAGACAATGTTACATATTATAATAATCTATTTGAAAACATTCAGTATTCCTCGAACATTTTGTTACGGACGGAAGTTCCAGCAATTTGCCTTAAGGCAAAATGCCACTTTCAACTAGTTATTTAAAAAAGCATAAATATACTCTTCTTCTATCTATGCATAAATGCTTCTTTATCTATGGCCCGGTCTCTTATATGGTTTCGTAAACGCATGTGTTGGTAATCCCGAAGCTGTCAAAAAGTTGTGCCTATGGTCTTTTTCAAGCGTCTTTATTTTTCTGGTTAATGTTTTATATAATATATGATAATATGATAATAATACCTATACTACGAAAAGTTTGTATAATTATCGTTAAACAATATTTAATCAAATAATTAGCATACAGTGCAAATATTTTTTAATAATGTCCAACTAAATCTCCCAGAACGAGCAAGAAATTAAAACAGAACCTCCAGAATATCCATCAACAACATCAAATTCATCCTCAATTTCACGCTTAATAACAACGTGAAATTGAGGATGAATTTGATAGTGTTGATAGTATTATCAGTCTTCAGAGGATGAAGAAACTTGTGCCGAAGTCTCATGAAGGCTGAAGTAACTATCGAGGAAGGAGATAATTGATAACACCCTTATAAATACCATGCACTAGAACAACCTTTGAACTTGATCATTTATAACAAAAGAGATTTGATCATTCCCTAA